TACGGGTTGCCCCTGGGGGGGAGGGAAATCTAGCTGCTGGTTGTGAGCCTGCAGCCAGTTTCCCTTAGCAATGGGCCCTCCTCTCTCCCAGCTTGTCTCTGTTTCAAATGGGAGCGGGGAAAGAGAGGAGAGGAAGCTCATCTTAGAGGTTCCTTAGCTGGAGCTGGAGGGTGGAGTGGGTGAATTGGAGCCACCCCACCTTGGGGGGAGGGGGGGAGGGGCTCCAATACATCTGCTCCACCCTCCAGCGGGGGCTGAAAAACCACCAAACTGAACTCTCTCTGCTCCCTTCCCCACCTCCCATTCTGGCTAGGGACAGACATTCATAAAGCCTGAGCCTGAATTAATTCAATCTTTGCAGGTTAGTCTAACCTTGCTAGGCTAAACCGATTCATAATTGGACAGACATTCTCTCTGGACTGAGGAAATTCAGGCACATGCTTTCAGTGGCTCAGGCTAGAAGCTGGGGGGCACTACAACAACCCTCCCTTCCCTTACACAATGCTGAGCAGAGGCAGGGCATGGCCAAGCCCTGGCAGGACCTCTGATTAGGGATGTCTTCCTGCACCATCCCAGGCGTTTCCTCGCTGGCTGCTCAAGGGGCAGGAGTGTTGCCAGCCCCCAGCCCCCTGCCAACACTCTGAGGCAAGTGGTGTGTGCAGTGCATGAATCTATTGATGATTCAGAGCTTTTTAATCTCCCCCTCTGCTTCTTTATCCTGTCTGCAGCAAACCTACAGCCAAGCAAGCCAGCAGTAGGATGATAACAGTGTTTATTACCCCATCAGCAAAACAATAGCCTCTCTCCATTAGTTCAAACTCTTCTTAAACAGTTTACCAGCTGACCTGTTGATTAACTCCAAAAATCCCTAAGCAGTCACTGTTCTGTCTGCCTGTCCCAGTGAAATTGGAGAGACACACACACAGACACCTCTTAGCATTAGTTAGCATACCACATGCCTAGGGTCCATGGGGCTGGGGTCCATGCAGTGGGAGGAGGTAGGGAAGGATTCCTGTTTGGGCAGTGGGGGGGGGGGTCGGTCGGGGGGAAGCCAGGCAGACCCTGCTCTGCCTGCAGTCTTTGCCCGAGCTCCAGCCAGGGAGCAGAGGAGAGGAGCCAGCTCTGCTGTGGAGCAGAGAGCCCCATCCAGCCCAGAGGGCAGGCTAGGATGCTGGGGGAGTCTGGTTTATCTTAAACCAGCAAGGGGTCTGGGACAGAGATTGCATAAACCAGTTTGACCCAAATCAGTTAAGTCTGATACCACATTCAACCTGCTTTAGCCATTTTCAAACTGGTTTATGTGCACTGAACATTTGTTCTGTTGCAGGTTTAAACCAGTTTCTGATCACTTAAGCCGGTTTATGTGTAATGTCTGTACCTAGCCTTGAAAACAGTGACAGGCTGGCAGGCAGCGCAGACAGAAGTTACAGAAGATGCTCTGTTTTGAAATGTCTTCATCTGACCCCTCATGCAATGATTGGCCATCTTTGAATGGCAGCTGTACACTCATGTTTGGTCATAGCTATAGACTGTGGGGCCAGATCCTCCAGCAAAAAATGTCACTTTAAACCCATAGACTAACCTACCTAATGAGGAGGGTTTTAAACTAGTTTCAACAGGGGATGAAGACAAAAGCCCACAGTTAGGTAAAGAGCAGAGAGACCTGTATAAAGACGTAGGAATAGGAGGAAACATGGGAAACCTTAACCAGGATGTTTGAGGGAAATCACCAGGTCAATCAGCTAATCATCGAAAATGTAGTATGGGGTATGGGAAGTAAATAGGAGAAACTGAAAGGCCTAGTATGCATACATGCTTATGATCTCATTAGAATAATTAAGACTGCTGTAGTTCACACAACTAGGAAAATGACATGGATGGACACAGCTCATTCAGGAAGGACAATAGGGAAAAAAAAGGAGGAGGTGTTGCTTCATATGCTGAACATACAGATACTTGGTTCTGAGGTTCACAATGAACTGGAAGGTAGATCTGTTGAAAGTCTCTGGGTTAAGGCAAAAGGGGAAGCCATAAGGCAGATGTTATGGTGGGTGTCAGCTGAAGACCTCCAACCAGGAGAAAAATCTGGTGCTTATGGTGATTTTAATTATTGCTGGGAGGTGCAGTGGTGCAGAGGCAGTTTAGCAAGGTTTTAGACTATTCTGGGGCCAATTTTTTGTACAGAGGATGGAGAAACCAACTGATGCGATGGACCTCATAAAGTGGGGAGGAATTGATTGAGAGTAGGAAAGGGGAAGGCAACTTGGCTAACAGTGGCCATGAAATGACAAATTCATTATACTCAGGAAAAGAAAGAAGTGGAACAATAGAATAACAAAATAGGAATTGAAGAAAACAAACTTTAAGAAACTCAGTGAAGTGGCAGATCTCCCATGGGAAGCAAATGTAAGGGGAAAAGGAGGCCAGGACACCTGAGTGTTCCTAAAAAAAGACAAAATTAAGGGCAGGAGAGCATACTTTTCACAGGAAGGAAAACGAACATAGCAAAGAACCTGCTTGGCTAAGTCACGAGCTCCTCAATAGCTTGAAACTTATAAAGGAACCTTACAAAAAGTGGAAAGTTTGCTGTGATACTAAGGATGAGCAGAAATGTTTATTCTGAGTATGTAAAATCAGAGGCTGTGTCCAGATGAGTGCAGCTGTGCAGTATGTGGCGCCGCAAACATGTCTGCAGAGCCACATACAGCACATTTAGATGTTCTCCACACTGCAAGGATGCGCTGCCTGTGCGTGTGCTGCTCTGCTTTTTTTTTTTCCTGTGGGTTTTTTTGACCCCTGGATATTCAGGGGTCAAAAATCACACAGAAAAAAATACAGAGCAGCACACGCACAAGTATCACGCGCTGCTCAGAAGTGGAGCCAGGCCTCCCAGAGCCATGCTGGCAGACTCACCACAGCTGCAGTCCCAGGAGGCCCCCAGGACTCCAGGTAAGACTTCTAGGGCCAGCCCAATGCTGGCTCCAGCCTTCTCTACCCCACCCGGGGTAACTTGCCACCTGCCAAAGTGTGTGTGGCATGGGCGTTCCTCAGGGACAAGTAGCAGGGTGCAAGGTGCGTCACCGCTACTTCTCCCCAGGGAACCAAATGTCTATGCTCATCTGGATGTGCCCAGAAAGGCCAAAGTATAAGTTAAGATACAGTTACCAAGCAATGTAAAGGTAGCAAATAATACTCTGGAAATACATTAGAAGTAACAATCATAGGATGGGCATCAAGGACAGGGACTCAACGGGCATGTCCTTAGCATCAAGGACAGGGACTCAACGGCTGTGTCTCCATGTGTATTTATATGCGCCTAAACTTAATGTGCCTTTACTTAAAGAGCATTAAGGCAATGTAGGCATGCATCTACATGTGGACACACTAATGCACATTAAGGTAAATTAAATTTAGTTGCAAATAGCTAAATCACATTGGTGCACATGCAGATGCACCCATGCCCATTAACATGGTGTGTATCCATTGATCCATACTGCCCTAATGAACATTAGCACATCTACATGTGGTCTAATGCAACTTAGCTATTTGTGCCGAAATTTGATACCTGCTTCATGCAAGTATGAAATTTAGTCTCATATAGCCTTAAATTGCCATTTTTAAGGCACATTTTTATGGGTATGCACATGTAGACATACACCCTTAATGCACCTTAAATAATGATTTCAGGCTAAGCCTGTTTAAAAGAGGTATATGTAGATGTGCCCAACAGCAATTATTAGACTCTAGGGAACGGAACATGTGAAGAAAAGCTAGAGGAACTGGGGTTCCTTAGTGTAGAGGAGAGAAGACTGTGTGTGAATGTATTAAATGTTCAAATACAGAAAGGGTTGTTATAAGAAGGATGGTGATAAATTGTTCTGGGTATCCACTGGGACAGGACAAGAAGTGATAGGCTTAAATTTCAACAAGGGAAAGTTGGGTTGGGTATTAGGAAGAAACTTCTAAGAATGAGAGTAGTTAAACACTGGATTACTGAGAGAGGTGGTGTAATCTCCATCACTAAGTTTTTAAGTGCAAGTTAAACAAACACTTGGCTCGGATGGCTTAGAGAGGGATGCTTCTGTCTTGAGCTAGAAGTTTTCCTAGGTCTGATCCAGAATGAGAGGGACTTGGGCAGTGTTTCGTATATCTTGGTGTCTTTAATTGTCCGAGGAGAGAGTCCAGTGTGAGCACAGATGTTTGCTATGGTCAGTGTAGGAGTCTGCTCCCTGTAGGTTTTTTCTCAGTTTATGCAAGTCTGTTTCCAAGTGTTAGCTTTTCAAGGAGTTCTCTACTGGAATCACAAGAGCTTGTGCAGACATTATGCTATTTTTAAATGATCCCATGCTGGCTTTTTAAGTATTGCCTCTGCTTAAACACTGCCTGTTTTCTGTTTCTTCAACTGGTCAATGCTTGAGCGCTGCGTACAAGCTGGAGAGAACCACTCTGTAAATAAAATGATCCACAACAGTAATTTTACATACAGCTGCTCAAAAAGGCCTTCAACTTATGGGGTAAGGTCCCTTGGACAAGATCCAGCGAAGGAAAAAGAGGGTCTCATTCCCTCCTACCTGCCAGGAGAGTTCTGATCTTGTCAGGTACAGATTTCAGTGGTAGTCGAGAGGTCAGCACCTTTCAGGATTGAACCCCAGGTGAGGGAGAATTTAACAGGAGTGGCTGGAAGTTTCCAATGTGCCTCCTGGAAACACATGCCACAGTGTAAGCTGGGCTTTTCAGAGACATGATCTGTGGTTTTCCTCCTGGATCAGATGAAATTGGCTACAAAAACTGCAGGGTAGGGGGAGGCAGGATAAAATAGAAATCTTGTCCTTCAGTAGGGGGAGAAGTGAAAGGCTCTCCAGCAGCCAGGGAAGGACTGGGGTGAAGATTGTTCCTTTTCCTGCTGCTGCAAGGGAACAGAGAGAGTCTTAGAGAAAAGCAGCAGGGGTTACAAGAGGTTTTCCAGGGGCTGGTCCAGGGCTGGCGTGGTCCCATGCTGAGAGATAAGAAACTGGGAAGGGAATCCAGGAAGGACACTGCTGGAGTTTCAAAGGAGGCTCCTTTGAGTGAGATATGGAAAAGAGAAAGGAAGAAGCCCTGGATGAGGGCAGTTGCTCCATGGTACAGGGGCACAAGGCTACAATGCAGAATCGTGGTGGGTCCTGGGCTCCTTTGCTGTGCCAATTCACAGTGGTGAGGAAGGAGAAGTCATGGCCTGGGGATGGGGCAGGGTGGCAGCATGGGAACAGCATCTCACTACAGCTCTAGAGATGTGAGTCTGAGCTCTGCCCTGGACTCATGCCAAAGGTTGCCTTTAGCTGTTAATGAGTGCCTAATTACTTGAGCTGGGGGACCATATCAGTCCCTTGTACCACTGGCTGTAGAAGCTGTGCGTCTTGACCAAGCTAGGCTAATGAGTTGCCAGGTCAAGTGGTTCCTTGACCGGAGGCAAGGGAAAAGGAAGCATGGCATTGTTTCTGAGACAAGGAGAGACACTGACACTTGCAAACCAGGGAAAGGACATGTACACTACAACCTCCAGTACAGGACAGTTGCTGAGGAGACTTAGTATAGGCAACTTTTTATTGGGCTTTATTTTGCGGAAATTTGGGGCTTTGATACTAAGAAATCAGAAGAAATTCCTCCTGAGGAGATGAACTGAGGTACAGGAAGTGGGCAACGTGGACACATCTGCACACCTAATCAGGGAGGTAAGCCATCCCTTGGTGCAGCTCTACTACAATGCCTAAAGGTACCTATGGAGGCCTGGCAGGAGGCTTATCTGGGATTCTCTGTATGTCCCTATATTCATAAAGGAACAACAACACAATGCCATAAAATCTTTGTGCCAGGATGAGGCCAGGTATTAACTGGCCACCTCCTTTGTTTGGATCTCCTTCCCCTACACTTTGTCTTTCTCTGCTGTCTCTCAGCCTTTTGGGACCAGTGGACCACTGTCAACCCTCAATATTTTTCACAGATCACTGTGTCCCCTTATTGTCTAACTTTTAACTGAAAACACAATTAAGATATTCAAGGACAACAGTATATGATCAATGGACCAGCTGTGGACCAGTTATAGTGACTCTGGAGAGCACTAATGATCTGTGGATCACAGTTTTAGGAATCACTGCTGTAGTGTGCAAGCTATTTTAGGCAGTGACTGTGCCTTCTTTCAGGTTTGCTCACTACCTCATATGTTGTGGGCCATGGAAGGAACAAACAGTAAATACCATACCAGACACAAACGGAAGCATAGGATATGATCTTGGGAGAATAATCAAATCCTAGGCTTTGTTTTACAGCATTAAGGGCCAAAGCCAACTTTGCAGGTGCATGAGAACCTTATCAAAGCTCAGCACCTTTCAGAACCGGTGTTTGGTTTAAGCTGATTTCCTAAGCATCTCAGGCAGGAGCACAGGAAGCTACAGGAAGCTGAATTGCCATTGGGATTGCAGCTCACTACAAGCAGAACCCAACTATGAGGGCTATCCATTTCTGAATACTCTCTACTAGCCAAACTTTTGGTTGGGCTGAAATGTCAGAGAAGATGTTAGAGGTGAATGGGTAGTAAATTAGGAAGAGAGCATAGTACCCAGGTCTGAGCTCCACTGAGCTCCAATTTGTCTTGCAGGGCTTAATAAACCCAGTTAATGATGTGTTGCATGACAAGAGTATTCCTCACCTAGGCCATTTAACGTTCCAACGCTGTTGATCATCCAGCGGCTGATGGTGTGATTTGCCAGGGAGTCAAACATGCTACTCAGTGCACTTGCACCAGCTGCGGTGCCAATCAGGTACTCCAGGATCAGGTTCCAGCCAATGAAGAATGCCACAAACTCCCCCACTGTCACGTAGCTGTAGGTGTAGGCAGAGCCTGTGGTCTTTGGGACCCGCACTCCAAACTCGGCATAACAAACACCTGTGTAAAAAAAAAAACACACACCTATGAGAAAATGCAGGCTGCTGGACAAGGAAGGGAAGTGGATAACTACCAGCTGGATTTCACCTGGTGCTTCTGTCGGTCTTCTGTGTAAGGGAAGGTGTCAAGAGCTTTCCCCAGATTGTATGGGGACTATGTGCATCATTACTATGCCTGTAAGTCAGGACGTGTAGGACAGCTCTTTCTCTACTCCCTCGATGCCCAGGAAAGAACAGGAAGATAGGGTTACTACTAATGAGCAGCACATGTGTTCAGGTTTCTATTGCATCTGAGCAATATAATAGAAAAAACTTTTCTGTCTGGCCTCTTGGTGAAATTTTGTGCACACCCTTTCAGCCACTTTTAAACTAGCTTGAGCTCTTTCATAACACAGGCCAAGGAGTGCCAGCTGGTCCTTCTCACAGTAGAAATTTGTTCTTCTTGGTTATGCAGGTGAATACATTCATGCTCTAAAATTCACAAAAATGTAAGGGGTAGACTGGGCAAAGTGGAGGCTGACTAGGTGATGAGCACCCTTGTGTTGTCATGCAGGCAAATCTAAACCAAAACACAGTAAGCCCTGGGACTTAGAAGTGGTCCCATAAATGCTGCTTATAAAAAAGACTCAGTGTGGATGGCTAGTCTTTGGCTGGCTTCTGAAATATTTCATGCCTGCTGTTGTTTCAGACCAGGGGCAGGCAACCCCTGGCATGTGTGCCAGAGTGCAGCATGCGAAGGCATTTTGCTTGGCATGTGCACCTTGGGGTGAATGGCAGGGAAGGGGCCAGGGCTGCACTGCCACAAGAAGGATCAGGACCCTTGCAGTTCCCCTGCCATTCACCCCTGGCACACCAACATCTTACATGTTGAGGTTGTGGGTGTTTTTGACTCTGCCTGAAAACATTGCTGATCCCTGTTCCAGACAATATTAGTTTTTAAGGTTTTTTTTTTAAAGGAGAGAAATCCAATGTTAACCATCTGCCTCACCTATTAAGAGGCCAAGAAGCAAAATCTGTAGGATATGATATCCCAGTGCAATCTGGGTAGTAATCTATGATACTGTCTGTTGCTGTATTGAGAACAAGAGTATCTAGGCTACAGGTCTGACAAAGAATCAACCCCCAGTGTCTGTGAGGAATTGAAAGAGGATACGGAAAGTCAGTTACTTGCCAAGGCCTCGTCTTGTCTGCTGCTGTTGGAGTAATAATAGCCTGAGGCTTTTTAAGCACAGATGGCTTAGGCAGCTTTGGCTACAACAGGGATCAGTCAGTCAAACATTTCTTGCCCGATGTCAAGAGAACTAATTACTATATCGGAGTGAATGAGAGATAACAGATGCAAAAGGGTAGTGACAGAGACTGAGTCATGTTGAATGAGCGAATGACAGTTTTATTGGAATCCATACTGGAATTTCATATTGCACAGGAGGAAGGGTGAGTGTGCCTGAAAGCTTGCAAAAAATATATTTTTTTGCAAATATCTACTTGGTCTAATAAAAGATATCACCTCTGCCATGAGTTCTGATTCCTTTTGCCTGTATCCCTGAAACATGAACACAAGCAAAAGGAATACAACTATATGACTATAACCAATATAACTGTAACATGTATCCCTGAAACAGAAGATATAAAATTTTAGCCATTTTTTAAAGGAAAACTTCATAATTTTACTAGAAGGAAGAAAGTTCACCACCTTGGAACCTGAAAGCGGACACCTTGGCTCCTGCCTATTGTTCCAGCTCAATCTGCATGTTCACAGAGCAAAGTGCAGAGAATTTCCTACCCAGGAGAGCATCCATCACACCATTCTCCTGTGCAATATGAAATATCATAACCAGAAGGAAACATAATTCAACATCCTGCTTGACAACAGGCAACATCAAGGTAAATAGACTGTTCTAACTTTTATCTGAACCTTATTTGCTCAAAATGAACTATTCCAATCAGGAGACCTTACAACACCTTCAGCTCTCCTGTGAAATTGAATTTTAATTTCCACTTAGGAGAAATTTTACAATGTTTGCATTCTCCTATGCCCGAGGAAGGGTGTGTTTGCCGGAAAGCTTGCAAATAAAATTTTTTTTTGCAAATATCTAATTGGTCTAATAAAAGATATCACCTCTGCTATGAGTTCTGATTCCTGTTGCCTGTAGACCAATACAGCTACAACCTGTATCCCTGACAGTTTTATTGTTATCTGCTAAGGGAGGACTGCATTAGTCCTGGACAGAACAAGTGGAAGACATGCTCCTTGCCCAGGATGTTCCGGTCTAGAAGCCTGATCTTTCTAGGTGTTGAACACCGAAGACCTGAAGACTTCAGAGGAGTGGGTTCCGGCTGAACAGCTGTGACCCCCGTTGGCTGTTTTAGGAGAGAATCAGAAATTATTTTACACCCTCTTGATGTGGTTTCTGTTGGGATGACTCTATTTAAAACAGTCTATGTGACATCACTCCTTGCTGTATTCAGTCTGCCCCATAAGTCTAACAACCTGTTATACTAAATGCTGCAAGGAGTAAAAAGTACATAGTTGTTTATCAGGTGCATATCCAGCCAGTTGGTATCTGGGGACACTAACTCCTTGTGTCAGCTGGACTTCTGAGGTAGCCCTAACCTAGAGTGGCCCTGCACCCTCTACCCACTGCAGTAGTCTGGCAGTGGTGGCTGCTGCCTGGTTGTGACCTGCTGCCACCTGCAACAGCATCCGCCCCCTTGGATCTGCAGCCCCATGGCTGCACACCTGCCAGACCCAGATGAGGACCATGCCACCGCTTGGGCTGTGGTATGGACACTGTAGCAGAGCCACCTGCACCTCTGAGCCAGTTGTCAATGGGCTGTGGCTGAACAGTTGGCCTTTGAGTAGCACTGCTGTCATGTCTTCTGGTGCCCCCACCCTGCCATCTGGGCAGTTATTGCCCAGAAGATGTGCTCATTGTGGTGGCCCACTTTGAACTATCAAAGTGTGTCCTCCTGGCCCCTAATGGCCAGGACATCAGCCAGCTGGGTCCCTGGTCCCTTGGGCAGGCTCCTTTGCCCAAGTCCCACCACTTGCCTCACTAGCAGGGATCCTGGTATTCCCTATTTTAAACTTGCAAATTTCCTGATTAAAAAAACCCAAATACTTTCATTAAAATACCCAAAATCTGTGTTCTTCCACAATTAAAATGAAATGCCACTATATATAGAGAGATCAGTTGGGCAATGTTTTCTTGATATATTTACAATTTTAAAGCAATTTGGAAGCCTGCCAGTGCCTCTATCATCATAATAAAACTAATTCTAAATATCTGTACACTTTGATGTTTGCTTTTGGTTTTTTTCTCATAGAAAAATCAGAGCTGCCCCTGTCCCCTTTGCTCACCAGGATGTGGGGTGCTGAGCAGCAATGATATGCCAGTGCCCTGCCCTTACCTTTTCCCCTCACTTCCAAACCACAGCCTCACCAGCACCCCTCACTCCTGACCCACAGCCCCTGCCTGCCCCCCACTAGCTCCCTCCTCAACGCTGTTCTGTCCCAGCACCAGGACATGAGCCCAGCTACAGCTGTCTCACCAGCTGCTTTGTGGCTCTGAGCAGTGCCATCTCCTACTGTTCTGCTCCCTGTGCCTGTGCCCAGGTCCCAGCGATCCCCATGCCATTCCTGGGAAGCCCTCAAATGGGGCTCAGGGACTGGGCTGGCTAAATCCCTTCCCTTCCAAGCCAGCCTCCCCCTGCACAGGCTGCCCTAGGAAGGCAGGGGGGCTCTAAGCCTGGCTCTGGAGGCCTCTCCTACCCGGAGCACTCCCCCATCCACAACCTCATCTCTCTCTCTCTCTCACACTCACCCCTGCTGCCACCTCCACCTCTCCCCCCAGCACATCACACCCTCCAAGTGGTTTCTGGGACCAGGACCCTTCCTCCCTCCCCCCCCCACCCCCGGTTGGGGCCACATGTCCCAGCGCTGGTGAGGGCACGGGACAGGATTGTAGCATGGCAGTTGCTACAGGTCCCATCCCATCCTGCAGCAGGTGATGCAGTGTGTGAGATT